TGTGGTGGATTACATTGATTGTTTTTCTAATGTTGAACCATTGAGTAGGATTTTTCTTAACGCTACCACTTCATCTTGTACCGACTCACTCTTACCCTCTTTTGTTTAGAAATCTGCTATTAACCTAGTCTTTGGCTACAAGTTATTTTATATGTTATTTAGATTTGGAGTAAAATGTTGATTAAAATTATGATGGTCAGGTCAAGAGAAGATCAACCAGGAATACCTGTATTCTTTCCCCATAGGAAGAAGGACTGCCCTGGTTGGGAAGGGTAATGGGGGCAGTTAGGTGTTGTTACCACCAGTGCTCACCTGAGGAAAAGGGCACCAAGGCTTATACTTGTATGAGGTCACATGGGCATGGCCATACTCGGAATCTTGGTCTTCTGACTCCCAGCTAGAGAGGATTTTTGTTTTATTTTTACTGAGAATTCACATTGTGGTGGTTATGTTTGTGTGTCAACTTGGCTGGGCCTGGTTGAGTGGCTGGGCAGCTGGTTGTAGTTATTCCCCATGGTAAGATTGGTAATTAACTCCATGGTAGAATGTATTGGAGCAGCTGAGTAGCAGCTTTAGGTATGTGGTCTACTTCCCATATATAAGAAGCAGGTTTGGGAATGGTCTCTAGCTTATGGCACGCTTGAACCCTCACTGTAGTCGTGTTGTTCAGTAGCCTGTCATGCTCTGCCGACCTGGGGCTTCCAATGGACTTGAATTAATGGCCTACCATGTGGTTTGGTAACGTCAGGACTGTGCCATTTTATTTGTCGACCTTGGGCTCGTTAGCCTCAGCAGCCACTAGCTGCCTGAGTGAAGAGATAACTCTAGCTTCAGTGGGCTAGGAGCAAGAGGCAGAGCTGAAAGGTCGAGGGGCTTTCACACAGCCCCTAGAGCGTGGCACTTTGAACTTGGACTTCTAAGCTCCTGAAATGTAAGAGAATAAACACCTGTTTATTCAAGCCATCCCATTTGTGGTATATTCACGTCAGAGCGGCACTAGGTAACCAGAACACACATACCATAAAATTCCAACTAGAAAGGTTTTAACAAAACTTATTTAAATTACCCCAAATATATTACAAAACCATACCCCCATTTAAACGTCTCTATGAATATTTTATTTTTCATTCTGCATTGAAGTAGGAGGAATCATAAAACATCATCTCTTTTGAATCGTGGATGACCCCTATGATGACTAAAATATAATAGTTCAAAAATAAAGTTTATAATTGAAAACAATCTGATGTTGAGCACCAGGGGATTTGTATGTTGTGGTCTGTGTTTATGGTGGGGTATCATGCAGCCGTTTACTGAAACTGAGATCGAAGAACATAGTATTATGAAAAGGGTCCTGGTCATGATACTGACAGGGAAAAATCTTAGGTTACAAAACAGTAACATCAAGGTGAACCTGGTCTTGTAAAAATAATGTTTATATAGAAACAAACTTGTTGTTGTTGT